TTATAGGGTGGGGGGGGGGTCAGGGTAGACGCTGTCTCTTATACACATCTAGATGTGTATAAGAGACAGATGTTGATGATAAACGTCGGCCTATATAATAATGAATATGAGTTTATTTCCCCATGATATAAGATGGAAAAATTTATGACGTTGAAGTGTTTCATGCTAGCTCCTTATATAATTTACCGACAGAAACAATATAGGCTATACGACATAATGCTTCCAGATGATAGTCGAGTATATATGTCAGTGGGCGAGTTTGCTGGGTGGGGTGGGGGATTTGTCAAGGGGAGAATGTGTAGGGAGGGGGCGAGATATCAAGGGTCGTGTTTCCTAGGGGCGAGTTGACTGGAATATTAACTATACAATACAATAATTCAATGATGTGCAGGAATGATGTACATATTGTAAAATATTGAATTGACCCCAGCTGACCATATCATTTAAAGATATACTGCCACCAAAAAACAAAAACAAAAAAAAACTTAGGCCTAACCCTAGGCTTAGGCGGCCTATAACTCTATGTTAACCAAATGTCGACGAACAAATTCTTAAAATTAAAAAAAAAGAAAAAAAAGAAAGAATTATGAAATAAAATTAATCATTCCCTGGGATACAGTTGAAGTTTTGGCTGATAAAATACGCACTACCACTTGACTTACCTGTTGAAACTTTGGAAGAGTCCAAATACAGGCCTGAAATCAGTCATGTGGTAAATCACAACATAACAAGTCAACGTGGGAGACCAATGATGTGGATCCCAGATTCGGATACAAACTGAAGTCTTCTTCTGTATGAACGTTGCATACTGCAGGTACTTGTTTGATGATAATACGAGGTAAGTGATGTAAGCTGCGATACAGATTTTTTGGCCTATACAGAGTGTATTATTATTAATATTATTATTATTTAGTGAGCCTGGCGCTCACTCGCCCCCATATTTGTAGGCCTAGTAGCGGCTTGGCCTCTACTCTTGTCAAGGCAACCTAATAAACTACCAAAATCGACACAGTAGCAACAGGTGCATGGCTCTAATTTTTTGATAACTGTCCCCATGCTTTCGTGGCTATAAAGACGTCTTGCTAACAAACTAGACAATAGTATAGGCCTAGCCTAAGGACAAGTATAGTGGGATAGGCCATGAGTGTTTTTGTGTGAATCTCTCCACCATGGCCACCACTTGGTGGTAGTGCCTAAATCTAGACTCCCTTCTTGAAGAATTAATTTATTTTCCCCATGCTTTCGTGGCTATATAAAGACGTCTTGTTAACAAACTAGAGGATAGTAAATATAGGCCCAGCCTAGGACAATTATAGTGGGATAGACCATGAGTGTTTTGGTGTGAATCTCTCCACCATGGGGCCACCACTTGGTGGTAGTGCCTAAATCTAAAGACTTCCTTCTGAAGAATTATCTGGTGGTGAATTGGGCAGTACAGTACACCAGGCCTGGAGACAGTTCCCTAACTCTTTTCTGAAGACTGTACTACTAGTACATTCTTTAATGTGTACATGGGCCATATCGCAAATGGCCATGGCTGTCAAAATTAAATACTCTTATTCAGTGATGGCGCCATGGCCCAGGACCTGCCCGACAGAGGGGTTAAAGGCCCCTACAGGGGAGCTAGTGGAGCAAATTGAGTCTCACTTGGCTGGGGGCCAGGGGCCACCTCTAGGGCCCCCGGTGGGGTCCAGGGGATGGGGGCTATGCTTCCCCCGACGGTGGGAGAGGGCTATAGACCCCCTCTGGCACCACCACTGCTTTTATCTGTCTACAATATCTTACATAATACCTTTATAAGCATGAGTTTTTAAACACATTTCAAATTTGACCATTATACTATTGAGCTGAGTGTTTGGACGAGAGGTAATGTTTCTGCTTCCTGTGCTGTGACCCTGTTAGATTGCTCAGCTTCTCGAATAACCCTTTCATGAGAGTTAATGCCCCTTTCACACATTCACAATTTTTGCTACGGTAGAGCATGATTTTTAAAAGTAAACTTGCTCTACTGTAGTGATTCCCATTTCTATGATTCAAATTTTATGTTTTGTCAAGACGCTTTTAGGACACCGTTAAGGTGTAAGGTGATAGTGTTGCAACTATATAGTTATAAAAACGTTAAGATTTGTCAGAACATGCTACGAATTACCAGGATTTTATTACGTCACTACGATTTTACAAAGACACAATCACGGTGTCAAAAGGAATTAAGACACATGTTTAATATAAGTAATCAGATGACAAAAAAGGTACGATTTACGAATATTTGAATGTTTTTGTCGTCACAGTAGTTGATATTTTGCCATGGTCAAAAACCTGCAATAATATGTAAACTGCTGCTTTTGAGAAGAAGAAGAAAGTTTGTTGGCTGCTAAAGCTTTGATTATAGGGTGGGGGGGGGGTCAGTGTAGACGTCGAAGGCAAAAACAAAGAGTAGGGCTATATATGAAGCCATGGCTCCTGCGCTATCCATTTTTGGATCAGTACAAACACATGATAAAATTCAATAGAGAAGACCCCTGAGGTTACAAAAAAATTATCTGTGTGAGCAATGAATTTTTTAATGAGTTAGAGGAATGGGTTGGACCTTGTATACAGAAAAGGGATACATTTTGGACACTACAAGTGAATACAAATGCACTAGCTGTCATGGCAAACCACAACAACCAATGCAGCACTTACACAATGCTGCTCCGGTAGCTGACCAAGATTTTGTTCACAGCTACAATAGAGCACAATTTTTATTTAACATTGCAAAATACCATTACGATGGCATCAAAATCCAGTACGGGGCACTACGATAAATTACGATTGACCAAAATAAGTTAGTACAACACCACTGCAATTAAAAAAAATTGAAAAAAATCATACGCTATGGTAGCAAAAATCGTGAATGTCAGAAAGGGGCATTAGACGGGATAAGGGACAATGTATTAGATGTCGGTACTTGTGTTGCACTGTGGCTGCCACATAACCAGTCGCAAGGGGTTTAGCTAAAATTTCCAGAATTTGCAAGTACTTACAGTATAATTTATTTTTAATTATTTATTTGAATGAATTTTTTGGAATTTTTTTCTGGCAGTGAAATATTTTGGATCAATACAAGCACAATCCATGGGCTGTTGGTATACAGCTGAGGTCGAATGTCTATTCAATGTTCTAACTCTGACCCTTTGGATCGCACTTTATCCAATATTTTCAAGCGCATTGTTTTTTTTCAAATTGATAATATTTGTCTGGCTATTGTAATTTTTAATTCTGTTGTAGAGAAAATATATTTGTATTTTGGTACAGCTATGATGACCAGAGAGGGTTTTTTCTCAACTACTGTATTGAAATGAATAGACCAGACACTCATGAGTAATTAAGCTGTTAAGAAGTAGAATCCTTAGCTACCATGCTGGTACTGTACTAATAGACTGTAATTTGCTGAGTGCCTATCACTGTATCAGATAAAGCAACTTTGTGCACTATGGTAGAGAACAAAGGGAGTTAAGAAATTAATTAATCCCACTAGACATACTTATAGGGAAGTTCACAGTAATTACAAGGTCTATTCATTGTAGGTAGAGCTCTGTATGAGGTGTATATTTTGGTACCAGGGTTTTTAATTTCTCACCTATGGAATGCTAATTGGATTGCCTTGCTAGGTGTCCTAACTCATTTGATTGTTGAGCATATTTTACATACATTTAATTACTGTAGACAGAGATTAATTTATCATTCATTTTTTTTACATTTATTATTATTATTATTATTATTATTATTATTCAAAAGAAAATAAATAAATATTACTGTTGATAGGTGTTCCAAATCTTCCAGTTTGATCGGGAATCCCCAAAATGTCATGTAATCTCCCATTCTCTTGAATTTTGTCAAAAACTCCCGAATTTTTTGAAAAAGAAACAACCCCAAAATTATTGGCTTTTTGGTACTGTATCAGCACTTGAGTTTCACTGATTTTTTTGTGGGTTTTAATTAATAATTTACCATGGCATCGATAGTACTGTACAGTACAGTAAGACGTAAAATATTGACTTTTAAATTGTTTTTACAATACAGAACTACAAATACAGGATGTAGTGTCCCATTGTAATTTAATGTTTTGGGTAAAGTCTTAGTAGGACCTGATATAGAGGGCGCCGTAATGCGGAAGTTCATGAACAAGACTAGTAACAGCATGTTCATGAGACGGTCTGAAACGTCTTTTTACCTAACTAACTAGCTGATTGCATTGGAAATAAAGATAAGTTTGTTTGAGTAAATACGACAGTCCGATGAGTTTATTCAAGTCTATTCTCGTGAACACTACACAGGATTTGTACGGTGTAAGGATATTGCTTACACCGGCATTTTTTCCCTTTCCTATTTGTTTCATTTCATTTCATTTATTTTGTCTCAATAAAATACATAAAAAACAACAACCGGTTACAATACTGTACAACAAAATAAAAGCATAAAAAAATCTGAAACAGGCCGAGACAGGATTCCTAAAAGTGAACCAAATCACTATCATGACTCCTAATGCACTATTCCGATTACACATAAAATAATAATAAAATGAACAATTGAAATACTTAAAATCTGTAAAATTTGCCTTAACAATAATATATAGAAATTGTAAAACTTATTTAAAATATAATTTAAGATCATTTAAAAATGCTTTAAGATTGTTTATACTTTGTAGTTCACTTATAAACTACAGGTATAATAAATAAAACCTTTTTTTTATCTGGGTAAAGCTTAACTGAAGGCCCATTGTTAGGATTTTGTATAGCCTAATAAGGAAGAAAATGAAGTCCCATGGTGATGAGTTGAAGTTTTCTAATGAGGAAGAAAATGATGAAAGAGGAACTTGGTAGCATCAAGTTATGGGTAGCATCTCAGTAGGGTATTTGACTTTGGTACCAGGAAACAATCTGACTTAAATGCTTGATATAATCTTATCAGAAAAAAAAAAAAAAAATTAGCTTCCTGATGGGGAATAGGGAAATGGAGGTTACCATTCTAGTCTAAAGCCTGGTTCACGCCAAACTTTTATCTAGATATACATCCACTTAAATAGTTAGAAGTTCGACGTAAACCAGTCAATTATAGCTAGATAAAGGCTTAAGTCACTTAAAGTTAAGTGACTTAACTTTACTAGAATAACGGCTAATTAACGGTAAAGTCGGCTCGAATTACAAGGACACAATTACGTAACTTAGGCATCTAAGCCAGCTTTGCTGTATTGTACCACCATTATCATGCTCTGGCTGGCAACAACGTACTCCAACAATGCTAACAACAGCATCGAAGTAGTCTCATATATTAGTCTGGTTTTCAGAGATTGTTGTAATATTATGAGTAAAAGCCCAGCAAACGTCCGTTTTACGAATAGTCGATATTACCAATGACCTTTGCATCATCGACCAAGTATAACATTAAAAAGTCCGATTGCGTACGTTTTTCAAAGTGATAATGTATATTTTTCTTAATAGTAAAATCAGATTTGTTGTATTTATTTATTGACAATTCAATCTTTTCCATTTCTGCTATAATAGTCACTATAAATTCAGTTTCAATGAGCTACCGCCAACGCCAGTCATTAAAATGAGTGCCCATATGTTTACGATGACGAAACAAAAAAGTGTGGAAGTCAGCAACTTATACACCGCGAAGCTAGATTTTCGCAAAGTGCATGTAAACAACACATTAATGCAGTGATCTAAAAACTGCAAAAAAACAAAAAAAAAACAAAAAAAAAAACACGACAGAAAGGTTCATAAAGTACGGTATGTAGACGTTTTAATGAGAAATAAAACAATATTTTATTAAATGAGAGAATGCTAGCGAAAATAATTTGGTTGTTATCAAAGGTAAATTTAGCTAGGGCCTAGTACAGTATATAGCCTACTACTAGACCACACTGCTGCACTGTCGGTTGGTTCGTACTACGTGCTGGTCACCTATATATAGCTAGGCTAGGTAGTAAAAACTGACACCTGATCTACAATAGTTTACGAATTTGTCAATTTTTTTTTACGAATACCCCTTGGTACTAGAGGTTCGTAAAGTACAGTAGACGTTATTTTAAAACAAGCCTTTCCACCGTGTGACATCGACGGCCGCGAAGCTGGCTGGCTGTTTATCTGGCTCAAACATGGCATCGAACGCAATTAGGGATAAATCGTATCATATTTCAAGATTTAGTTAAGTGGCTTAACTTCGACGTGAACCAGGCTTAAGAGAGCTTTGTTTGATAGAAATTATCTTAATCCACTCAATTAATTCATTCATCCAGATATTGCAGTGATTTCCCTTTTGTCCGTTTTTTTTTTCTCTATGATCCATTTAAATCCATGGTCATACCCACCTTGTAATCGTTTCTGGATAAAACATGAAAGTTATATAATTGTTGGTATATTTTAATTATAAAGTGAAATACAACTCTACTGTAGATGCCCAAATCCTGGATTACAGTAGGTCATAAAATTATATGTTCCAAGCCAAAATAATATCTTTATAGTGTCATTTTAGATTACAGCATCCAATAAACACTGAATCTTTAAGTGTTGCATTTCATTTCAAAATGATAATGAAATTAAACACTTGGATTTTTCACTAATGTTTCAGAATTAACTAAATAAAAATGGTATTAAAATTAATGGTGGTTGCCTTTGATATTTCAAGGCACAGACCTTCAATCACAGCTGTTGTTGACATTTGGAGAAAAACTTCTACATGTATGTGCTCCACCAAATATATCGACCTGCATTTATGTACGATTTCCAAATTTTTTTTCAGTTGTAGGTCATATTGTTTTTCACCGTTTACTGAAACCCCCCCTCCCTTCTTTCCCCACAGATTACAGTAGGCCTACATAATAAAAACACATTATTACAATTTAACCCCCGGCCCTCCCTGAACCCCAGTGTTTTGTATTCTTGTGGGAATGATGACTAAGGTATTTCCCCCTTTTTCCCTTTTACATCCAACAGCATGTTCATTCTCAAACTAATTGAAGAAACTCTATGAAGCTGTTTAAAATCTGTTGGTGAAAGACAGTAGTTGTGGAGTTGTTCCAATTATAAAAAGAGAAAGTAAACGTTCAGGTTCTTTGTATTGGATGGCAAGCATCTTAACCACCAAACTGCAATCATTTCAATTAAAAAAGGAACTTACTCAGTTTTTCATCTATCATATAATGATATATTATTTTTACTTGTAAATGAAGTGTATAAAAAAAAATTAAGTAGAAATTTACACATTGAATCATATTGGAATACTTGCAATGACCTTGGATCCTGTATTTGGTTCTGTGATTTTTTTATATATTACTACTATACAGGTCTCCATCCAATTAAATACCACTAATTGGGACTGGGGTTTCCATAGTCTTTAGCAGCTTTTGTCTCTAATTAGAATAATAAAGAAAAGACATTAATTTGGGACCAGAAAAAAAATGTGAATTGGAGATGTCTCTAATTATAGGGAGACCTGTATTTTGACAGAAATCATGTGAACTTATTAGCCTTTAAAAACACTAATATACAACGCTGATTTAATATGAATTATGGATTTATGAGATCAACAGTCAGATGTTAAACCAATCATGAAATAGAAACTTATATTTTTTTTTCAGATGTCAAATGGTTATGTTACAAAACATTGCACTCAACAAAATGATGTACATATGGGATATCTACCGGTGTATAATAGTTACAGTAAAACATGTTGTATGTTTGTAATATGGATTTTTTTTCTAAATTGAAATATTGAAGCATATTGAAGTGAATTGCTCTTCTGAATATTAAAAGCATTTCTGTCTGTATTCCTCAAGGTTGACATGGGCTGTTTTTGATCATACATGTTTCAAAATGCATTCTCTCTACCTGGTAACTGCTTGTCTTTTCATTCGGAACTATGGTAAGTTTATAGTAGATATTTTTGTTTGACCTCATTGAACATGAGTTCATGTTTGCCATTGTTTGTGTTTATGACAATCTTATATACAAATATGGTAGCACTTTTTGAATTGTTTTGAAAAAGTAGATTTGATGGGTAGGGAGGGGCTATGCTGTGTTGTACATGTTCAATAGTAGGCCTACTCTTAACATGAGAAATTATTTCTTAACGTGTGATGGGGAAAATATAAGCATGGTCAAGGGCCAGGTTGTAAAGGAGACTGGGCATACAGTAGAAAATCTGATTAAAGGTGGGAGGTTTGAACATTAAAATTAGTTTTGTAGTAAAGTGAGTAAATCATCTCTAATTGCATAACTATGGCATTTGAGCTGTGTACTATAATGTGTGCCCTGCGGAGCAGTGAAGCCCTGTCATACAGTGTAATTGGTAAAATAAAAACCAACAATTCTCTAATAATATAATATTGAAAAATAATAAAAGTCACATATTGGACAGTAGATATAAATAGTGGATACAATGAACAGAACAATGACAACACAAAGGGACTTAAAGGAAACACAAGGTACGAAAGAAATTGGTTGATACAAATGCACCCTGATAAATAAGGAAAGGGTACTATAGGAAGACTACATATTGTACTAGCTCTTCATATCCTTTGTAATTGTTGGTGAATTGTAAAACAACCCATAAGTTCCTCCAAATTAAACACCATTTATGTTTACAAAAGCCAAAGCCATTAATATATTACAGGTAGTCTATCATTGAAGGAGGTTGAAGGTCACACTCCAATAGAGTGCACCTATATAAGAGGATTTTGACCTTAAAATAATAAATATTCAGGTGTTCCATCAATTCTTCTTGGTGCCCTCATTTTATGAGAAGTTGTAGAACAAAGTTGTATAAAATAGTTTTGTATAATAAGGTACAGTACACTTAACTTTGTGCTACCAATATAATACAACAAAATTTTAATATTTAAAAAAAAATTCTTAACATTTTAAATAATTTTTGTATCTCAGGGGTGCCTGAGGCCTATGTGTCCTGTTGCTTCAGCCTCATCAACCCCTCAAACATGACGTCATTGAACCACTGAGTATAAGCCTGTCAGTTCAAAAATCTAAAAGAGATGGATAAGTTCCATTGGTTCCAATATGTAACCATCTATAGTTTGATGTGCATATTATTTGATGTTATGTAAATGTTGACCCCAAATTTATGAATAATGAATGTATTTAAAGAAAAAATGATATTGACTCTCTGTGTACCATGTATCTGGACTCTTAGCAGAGTTGTTATTGCAAGAAGGAGAGAGCTTGCTTGTGATGAACAAAGAAAATAACACTGTATAATATAATATGCCATAAAATATATTAATTAGCCTAGTTTGAAATCGATACCAATATGTCAACGTAATTAAATTGTTAAATGATATGTTTATAATTATGACCTTAAGATGAATAACACATTTATAGATTTGATCTTGGATCTACAGTAGCACAGTCAGACAGGTCAATCCCTAAAGATCCAAGCATGTGTGTTTCTCATGAATCAAATTTCTATCTAGTGAAATCTGATAAATTGGAGCTCGTTCTTTTTTTTTCTTCTTTTAAGGTTTGTGTCAAAATATTGATGGCCAACAAAAAACAACGCAACCGGTTGTTTATGTAAACACATCAGCAGCTTATCATATACTGACTGGTTCTGCTTCACGCATTAGGGCTCCAACTGTTAATCCACCATTGCAAACAACTGGTGTACCGATTAGCAATGCAGAGCCTACTCCCCAGGTGTCTAATCGCATTGTTGTTAGTCCAACACAGCATTACCCCAGTAGCCCTACTGAGAGCAGTCATTTCATAACCGATCCTTCCAGGGAAAATATTTATGTGTCACCTCTGTACAGAGCGGGGGAGCCCCAAGAACCAGGGATTGGTGAAGATATAATTGAGAGAACCAAACTCCCTCCAACCACCTCCATGATGAAACCCCCAAGCACACCTTTCAAGAATACATTTCCACCTAAAACCAGAACTGAGGCTCGACATACAGTCTCAAAACAGAGACCTACCACACGAACAGAACCAAGATTAATAACGAAAAATCTGTCAAAAAATAGTACATCGACACGACGAAATAACAAACCTACATCATCAACACCATGTTCAAAGTATGATGGAACTTACTTAGAGCTTGTGTTTGAAAACAATAGCCAAGAGCCGTGTATGAAGCAAATGGAAGAGATACAAGAAGGAATTATTAAATATGCAAATGTACAAGGATTAGACTTTCCTGCTCATTCTGTTATTGTTTTAAATCAATGTAAGATTTGTGGAACACAGTTTAAAAACGATACAATTACTCTTGAATTCTGTATAAAAAACGAAAAAAGATGTGATGTTGATGCTACAAAGAATGCTTGGCGTAAAATGGATGAGCGAACAGAGAGAAAAAAGCTAGACAAATACATACCTGTGACGGTAAGATACAAGGAAGAAGGTAAATTATAATCAATAATAAATACGTACTTGCGACGTTTTGGTCTACTCAGTAGAACTTCATCAGGCATTGATGGGTGCTGGTGCTAGTTGTACTGGTGCGTTGCAATTATTGGTTTCAATATAAGAATTTACCTTCTTCACTATTCGAAGAGAGGTAAGAATACAATTACCCAGAACATTTGTGGCGAAGACAAGCTAAACCAGTCCTAGCAAATTGTGTTTCGTGAGATAATTGCCAAAACAAGTTGAAATGTCAAATTTTCAAAACCTATTTTATTGCACTAAACTAAACTTCATATATTTGTACATCTTGCTATGTATTTATTTTCCCCATTTTCGATGTTAAAACAATTTTTAACGATCTTGTGATGGTCCATGCCTGAGAAATGGTTGAAATCGTAAAATTGGAAGGCAGATATCTCAAATACTGTTCTTCAAACAGCTGTTAAACTCCTATAACTTCATAACGAAATGTTCTTGTGACATGTTTGTGACGGGTTTGGCTTGTCTTTGCCGCATACAGTGTATGTAATGCACCATTATTGTGCAGATAATTATTACCCATAACTGAGCACCAGACATTAAAGGGACCCTGTACTTCTTTGTGTTTTGTTGATCTAATAATCCTGACTTACAGTATGTAACAGGTTTTAAGAAAATTTGTAAAAAGGTACAGTAATAATTAAATTTATTGTTCACCATTAATTGTTATAAGATGCTCATGATATGTATAATACATGCCAGCCAATACAACAACAAAAAAATAAAACATTTTTTTATTGTCTTTCCTTCTTTCGGAAGATTATTATCCACAATATATTCAGAGTTTCACATATGACACATGTTACAACAATCCACAGCTTTTTTTTGAAGATATATAGACCATCTTATCACATATATTGCAAGCATTTTAAAAGTACCTATATTACTTTGCCATGCAAACCTTCAAATAAAAATATTTTAGAAAACATACCGGTTAAATAATTTGGATATCAGAATCAGAATCGGAATGAATTTTATAATCATGAAATCATTACAAAGGCATGAACATTGACTTGTTACAAAGATTATAAAGTACAACAAATATATATTGTATTTTCGTCTTTCCACAGATAATATCAATCGAGCTGCAGACACCTATAGAAAAGAAAAAGAAAAAGGAAGTCAACATACCCATGCTTGTTGGCTTACTCAGTGTTGCTTTCCTGATGTTGATCTTAGGAGTATTTGTAAGTAATATAAATAATATAACTGTCAACAATTAGAATGTAATTTTTTTTTTGAAGAAAAGTTTGCATTGCTTTATTGCTTAATACAAGATTTTATTGTGTATTTTTAAATTTGTGATTTTGTGTATATTTTAAGATAAAAAACATTCATTCATTCATTCATCCATTCATTCATTCATTCTTTCATTCAGCTAGCCAATTATTCATTCCCTTTCTATCCATTCATTAATTTATCCATCTATTCCCTCATTCACACTTCCATCCATATATTCTTCCATCTATTCATCAATTTATTTATATAATCATGGATTCATCCATATATTCGTCCATTTTCCCATTGATTCATCCATCCATTCTTTCATTTATTTATTCATTCATATTATATTCATTTATTTATTCATTCATTCTTTTATCCATTTGATCATTCATTCATATATATCCATTCATTCATTCATTCAGCTTATCATTTATTCATTTATTGTATCCATTCCTTCATCCCTCTATTCATCCATCCATCTGTCCATTCATTTATTTATTCATCCCTTCATTCATTTACCTATTTATCCTTTCATTTATTCTTGTCATCTATTCATTCATTCATCCATCCATCCATACATCCATCCATCCATCCATCCATCCATCCATCTGTCCATCAATCCATACATACATTAATATATTCATTCATTCAATAAATCATTCATTTTGCTGTAAAATGATGCCAAAGTAAAGTAAAAGTACTAAACAAAAATCTAAAGTGATACATGTTACAAATAACTTTAGCAACACTCAAGCCCTCGGTATTTATTAACCTCAGAACATTATTAACACATATCATTGTAGATATTCCGTGGAAAAGTGAAGAAGAAACCTGTAAAAGACCGTTTCTACTTTGATGGTAGCAAAATTCAGGAGTGTCTGGAATTAGCAACTGATGGTATTGTCAACGAATCCTACGGCCTGGAAAAGGTTAAGGACAGGCAATTGAAGCACATGTCTCTCCTAGTTCCTGCTATAAATCTGGGCCTAGATATAGATGAGGAAAACAAACCAGATAATGTATGTATTTTCAATAAATTTAATGGAATTATTGTTGTAATATTTTATTTATCAGAATCAAACTATCAGTTATTATTAAACAGATTACTAGTAATATTATCTGAAAATGATCGTTACCACTCTTATTGCCTTTCATGAATTTATAATATTTTTTATAGATTATTTATTAATATTGATTTTATGATAACTAAAATATTTATGAATAGGAAATTATTTCACAAATGAATATTTTGAATTCAACATAATTCTTAAATTTTCTAATTGGATAGGTTTTGATCCATCAAAAATCAGTGCTTGTGTATGATTCAAAAGATGATAAATCCCTCCCTTAAGCTAGCAGTAAATACAAGTCCCTCTATTGTTTGCTTTATTACTGAAATTAACTTATAATGCCAAACAAAACTTAACTGTTCACACAGTTCCTTGACACATTTTTCAAGTCATCGTACTTCCTAGTACTTTTTGGGTGCCACCTTTTCCTCAGAGAAAAACAGTCATATGAACCCTAAACACTATTAATTCAATTTAAGAGGAATTTCTCTGGAGATAAAATGAGCTTAAAAAGGGATAAATTTTAATGCAGATTGTTGACATCATTTTAGAATATACAGCTTTATTTTCTGTACTTAATTATAGATTTAACCTAAATGTTTTTGAGCGGAATTCTAGCTTGGTTCTATAGATATTTGCTTTTTAATCACAAGGTCCAGCGTTTAAATCCTGTAAAATACCAAGACTATTCTCCAATCAAAACACATAATAACATTTTATAGAGCATTGTTTTATGCTGTAAATAGTGAATTTTCATACACAGTGAATAATATATGGTAATATATCAATGCATCCATGTTCATATTTATTACCATTCATAGTTATTACTATATTATTTCATGTTACCTAGCAAAGTTGAGACCACCAGGCGTTTAGTTTTATACTGGGCCCTATAACTCGCCAGTATAGCCCCTGTTTCTCTCCTGTCTTTCTCCACGGTGTGATCATGTAATTCTCAATGAAACCTATTTCTATCGTAACCAATAATCTTCTCCTTTTTTGAAGGAACTTCCATCACACCTGCTTTCTGTAAATGCATTGAAAATGTACTTTACCTACAAAGAAGCTATTGATGAGGAATTTAAGGTATTTATAAACGATAAACATTTTTTTTTTTGTAAACCATGTTTTGGAGGAATTTTTTGCAAGAAATATTATTACCAATGAGTGAAATGACTCATTCTATCCTGCATGTTGGTGATATTGAACCATGATGTAAATACAAGCATGCTAGAAGCAAGCTGCGTCTTCCAGAAATTGGGACAACCTCTATCACCCTCATGCAAGCAAACATCCCCCAGAAACTACCCATTTTCCGCAATTTCATGATACAGTGGAACTCCTGCTTTGGGACACCCCTATTAAGGGAACACCACTATCATATGGAGAATTCTTTGCCCGTGAAGTGAGAGAAATGTATCTTTTAATATTCAGCCAACCCTTATTCAGGGCGACACCCCTGAAGGTTCCCCCTTAATGGGGGTTCTACTGTATTTGCATGTTTTTGCTACTCTGTATAGTATGTCCCTGAAGGCAGCTGGCAATATGTATCGCCATGCACAGCAAAATATTAATAGATGTTTTTTTTTTTTTTTGTTGCTTAGTAAAGTAAAACACTGGCACCACATGAAGAATCACAAGACTTGTAGTGAAAGTCAAAGATATCAAAAAGATACAAAGATATCAAAAGATACACACAATAAAAAAATGAGAAGAATTCGGTCAGATCCAACAATTTTCAACATCAAAATGCATTTTGAAACTCTAATGAAGACAAAAATAATTTTTTTTTCAGTTTTACTTAAAATTTTTCTGTATTTTTAGTCTTTACCATATTTTAGGCCTTTGCTCAAAGACTTGCCAGTTGGAGTGGGAGCTAAGAATAGAACAGCCCAGGTTCTTCCGCCATTGGATACAAGAATTATATTATCATCGAGGATGGAGTGCAATGGTTACATCAATGCTAACCATGTTAAGGTAAATAAATTATTCAATTAATAACAAACATTTTGTTTACTCTTTTTTGATGGTGTCAAAATGTATGAAGTATTAATATATTTTGATATACTGTATAATTAAATCTCACTCAAGCCTAAATTTAGATGCTCTGAAGAAAAACCAAGGTCCTAAAAAATCTGTTCCATTGTGGATATTTTTGTATTGATGTGTCAGCAAAGAAGCTTGCTTCAATTTGTTGATAGTTGACAAAAGTGCAGAAGACTACTGTTTAAAGCTATTTTGTCTACCATATTGTTTATCTTGTGCACTTCATTATTCATTATTAGATGTCCCCAATCAATCAATATCTATAATTGTGTATATTATCAGGTCTTTATCTCTTAAATCCTTTCAATACATAGTCATACATATTTGAATCAGATTTCTTTTAAAAATGGAAATTCCAACAGCCATGTTCTTGAGTTGTATCAAAAGGTCCTTCAATGATAAAACAAATAGAGAAGGTTGCTGTACATTCTGTACAGCCTACAGTATGATGGAGTGGAGGATTTCCATTATCACCATTCATATTCGAAGAACATATGTGGCAAAGGCAAGCCAAACCAGTCACTCGTCGCAAATCGTGTTTCCGAGA